ATATAAGAAGAAGAGACAAAGTGTGTGAATAGTTTTGACGTTTAACCTTCCATGGTTGGAAGATGGGGTTTGTTTCCTGACTTGCTTCTTGAATGTGTGGGACATTCTCGAAGCTCTGGAAGTTGGAACTGTGTAGTCACAGTGTGAAGGGGAAACCCTCCTCCGTGTACTTCCCAGGACCATACAGACAGAGATTGAGCAAATCAGCCTAGTTATAGGGGTTGGTGTAAAGGCCACTACTAACACAACAGGAATGTGTCGTTACAATACAGATTAGTTCAAACATTTTTCTTTTTCTCTAAACTGAATTTGGCCTAAGGTAGAGATCTAAAGGAAAAAACAAAAACAGACCCCTCACTATCACAAAAACAAACACTGAATTCTTCGTGATTTATAAGAACTAAATTTAAGATGAGTTACTGTCCCAGAGTCCGTGGGGGTTGAAATAGGTTCGGGCTGACTGGATTTCAACCAAGAAGCGCCTCTTCCCAGAAAGAGGGACTTGAGCTATGACTTGGACCTGGAAACTTCCCATCCAGAAAAGCATATTCTATCTAGGTTTTCTTTTGATCTCTTGAGGCATTGAAAAACAGCTGCTTGACACTTCATGAAACTACAAAGCTATGTATAATGCAGAAATCATTCTGGAACATATGCGCCTGTCTTTCTTTACAACCAAGGTTATTTTCGAGAACAAAGATCCTGTTTTCAAACAAATGTGATCATTAACTGTGATGCATCAGAAGACATATGGCATGGTTAGTTTTTAGCAGAATCATTCCTAAAGAAAGTGACTAAGTTCCCGTGAGGAATCAAGATGGTTTCAGTTCAGGAGGAAAGCCAACAAGGAAGGCAAGCGAGAAGCCCCTGCCCATCAGCAGAAGTTCACAAACACGGCAGAGGTCCTGTAATTTCAACATGGGATCAGGAGCCCGCAACTTGGTTTTAAGTCACACCAGCGAAGAACTTCAAAGAGTAACACTTACTCTTGAATTGATTGGCACCGTCCCTGCAGGGCACTGAGAAGGTAGCCATAGCTCCACACCACTGCCTCCTTCTCCAAGGTGGAAGAGGTTGGGGGGAGACACAAAAATCTTAAAAAACTCAACCTACCTCTCCTTCAAAGACCACTACTATTTTACATTGCATTTTACAGAACTGACTTCTGGGCTCTCTCCAACCTTTTTTTTTTTTTCCCTCCCCTTGTTGATTTTTGTTTTGTTTTGATTTTTGTTTTCTTCTTTTCTTGACAGCAGACCCATACAAAGTGAAAACCACAAAAACATCACCTGGGAGACAGAAAAGACTAAGACAGATCTGACCACAGGACAAGTGTCTCGGCCTTGACCTACACACAGGAGCAGTTAAGACTCTGGAGCGGCGGATGGCCACTGCGCACAACACTGCATTTAGACGGCTGAACAAGTGCGAAAAGAACGTTGCTGAGTCCCATTGGTGTGGCCCGGCCTCGCGGCTCACGGCGTCGGAGGTGGTTTTGGAGACGGGCATGAGCTCTCGCTGTCGAAGCTGGCAGCTCTGCCCTGCCACTGTGGGGAGGAGAAAAAGCGCCAGTTACTGATCGCCAAGGGAATTAACGTTGTAACTTCCAAAACTTAACTGGCCCATGCACTGAATTCACCTTCCCCGGCTTTTCAGTAAGCTTTCTTGAATTTTGCTGTCAGCCATGCAAAAACATAAGGAAAACAGCTTACAGCTTCTAGTTTGGAATACTTTGATTAAGAAAAAAAAAAAAAAGAAAAAGAAAAAGAAAAAAGAAAAAAGACTACTGCAGAAGTAACTTCGGCTCTCTTCACAATGTAGAGTGTGTGTGTGTGTGTGTGTGTGTGTGTGTGTGTGTGTGTGTGAGTGTGAATAAGGTGCTACCACTGGACCATTTCTGAGTGCTTCAGCCATTTTTCACACTGAAAATCAGATTATGTTAGCAGCGAAAGAGGCAGTCTGCAGAGTGTGGCATTACTGCCAAGAACCCACGATCATGAATTATTAGCAATTTGTCTGGGAGCTGTTAGTACAGCAAAAGAAAAAAGAAGAAAAAAAAGCCTGATATTGCTTTGCTCTTGGGCTCCCTTCTTTGGCCTTTTGTTTCCTATGAGCATTCACACCGGGCTTATGAAGCGGTAGGAGGTGTGAGGACAGGGACCCTTTCCCCTTTGGGCCCCTCCAAACCCTTTCTCCTCCCCAGCTCCCTGACTCCCGGATGGCCTCCTCTCAGCCTGGCTCTACCCTTCTGTGGAAGTGGGTGATGCAATGAGGTGTCATGGAGTGAGGGTGGGCTGAGGGAGAATGGACCTGGGCCTTGGGCCATTCAACCCTTCAGATGGAAAAGCCAGTCATAGCCGTAGCCATGTCTCCCAGGCAAGGATCGGACCCCATGGATATTCTTGACCTGTCTCGGGGTGGTGAAACTTCAGAGTGAGTCAGTGTCCCCTGCTCACTCGCCCTTTCGTGGGCTTAGGAGACAGAATACTCTCTTAATGCCTGTGAGACCCGGCTCTAGGGAGGGATTTTAGTAAGTGGTCAAGATGGTCTTCTGAACCCCAAGGGCAGCCTTGAACCTCCTTCTTCTCATGAGCTTAGGGGGGTCTCCATTGTGGAGAGACAGGGCTGAGTAGAGGTTATAACCATGCATTTGGGGACCTCTGGAGGTGACTGGAGGAGGATACAGTTCCCTACTCAACATGGCTGTCTCTAGGCAGAGCTGAGCCACGCCAGGAAGACTAAGTGGGAAACTCACAAAGCTGAGGCACTACCTCCACGACCCCAGTCCTAGGGACAGTATGCATTGTTCCTCTCTGAGCCCTGTTCTGCATGGGTTCCTTAGTGCTCCCTTTCCAGGCCAACCTGAAGGTCTTTACAACTAACCAAGCACCGGACAATCAGGTATCGCTGGCCACCATGACATGACCTAGACCTGAGCAATCTCAGCACGTCAGAATGGACACAGGCTTAGGAGATCTTCCAGGCTAACCCTTTTGTTCTTGCAAATAAGAGAACAAAGACACAGGTAGTGTCAGGAGGTAGACAGTTAGGGCAGAGCGAGGACCTGAAACCAGGTCTCCTCAATCCCAACTGGGTGCTCTTTCCCCTTCATCCTGCCTCTCTCTGTCTTAGCACGTAGCTGTACTAGGGGAAGGAGACACAAAATGTAATAAGAAACCTAACCTCCTTGGGTCCACACCAGGTACTTACTCCTAACTCCAGGTGGTAGTCTCTCTGCTTTGCAGCATCCACGTGAATGAAATCACAACCGAGGGTTTCCCTGGTGAGATATTTTAGATAAATAAATGCCTGGTTGTTGAGCCCACTGTGACTTCTGACTCAAGTGTTTCTTAACCAGAAAGTGACAGAAGACGATCACTAATGCTTTCATTTAGCAGACCTTCATTTTAGGAGTTGGGTTTTTTTTTTTTTTCTTTTTTCCTGTTCCAACCTTTAATGTCGGTGAAAGGTACATTGTAATTACTGGCTTCTCCCCTGGGTGAGCCTGCTACTTAAACAATCTGATTGATAGGCCAGGTCAGAGGAGAAAACAGGAAATGGCTACACAGAATACCTTTTCCCCCTTATATAACAGCCCAAAGAATAGTCACACAGAGCATAATTGTTTATCCAGAACAAATGAAGAAGGAACACTGGCTCTCCTGCTAGTCCCTGATTTCGCCTATGAAGATAAACAAAGGGAGGAGATGAGGTTCATGGACAATGGAAAGGTGAATGATTCCCAGGCTTATGGAGATGGCTCTGAAATAGCGCAGAACCTGTCCCCTCCAGGTGGGAAAGTTATTGTTCCAGGGGGAGGGTCTTTTGTTCTGAAAAGGATCACATTCCAGCAGAGATCTAAAATCTCTGGCAGATGATCTGAAGTTGGCCTTCCTGATAAAGCACCTTGGAGAAAATCACTGGTCAACCAGGCCCTGTGTGTGGTGACAACACACACACACAAAAAAAATGTTGGCAGGAGTGCTGGGAGGGAAGGGGCTGGCGCTGCAGCTGGGGAAGGGCGCTCATTGTGGCTTAATGAATTTTTATTCATGAGAGATCCCAGCAGGGAAAAATACCTTTTCAGTTAATTTGTTTCCCCTCAACCTTATTTTAAGCACCAAACCAGCACGTAAGTATGGTGTCCTGTGTTCTCATTAATAATAAAAAAAAAAAAAAAAAAAAATGATCCAACACTTGAGGCTCATGAGAGATCCCAGCAGGGAAAAATACCTTTTCAGTTAATTTGTTTCCCCTCAACCTTATTTTAAGCACCAAACCAGCACGTAAGTATGGTGT